ACGCTAGGGAAGTGGGAGAAATACCTTATAATATAAGGTATTTGTCTCGCTTTCTTAGAATGCCTTCGTGGTAAGCACGTTTGGAGCGTATTCGAGAAGCCTTTGGTTCGAGTCCCGGCGAATGCTTTGCTCATCTTTCATCTCTCCTGCTTCAAAATAACCTAATGTCTTCTAATTCCTCAGTTTCATTATCATTAAGATAAAATTCTCGAAACTCGAAGTGCATAACGGCACCAACTGGACGCGGCGCTAACTGGACGTTCCATTATATTTATAGTACATGTATTATAGTATTAATGTTCTAGTACATATATTATAGTAGTAATATGCTCGATTATAAAATCTAAACACATTCACACATTACACTAAATAAAAGGAAATTGCAAAGAAAAGAAGAGAGAAAAAGAGAAGAAAAGAAGAGAGAAAAAGAGAAGGAAAAGAAGAGAAGAAAATGAATTAAAACTGGATTGAAAAACTGCTAGGAATCTCGGAATCATTCGAGAATTACTTCGCAGGTATTCAAATACAATAAAAAATTTCAATTTCATCTGCTTCTGATGCATCATAAATCATCCATTGCTCTTCGTAATCAAACGTGTACGTTTCACGAAACCTATGTACAGACAGAAACGAAATTCCGTTCGGAAAGTATATTTATGAGTTTTGGAATGATTTTGAGGAATAGCCATTGTGTTTCGGATGTGGCTGGATCGATGTGGCTTTGCTTTCCTAATCGATGGATTCTAAATGACCCCTCTTTTTGACAACACTACAAGAAACGTAAAATATTGCTAAAAACATATCCCCCGAAATAGATTTTCACAGGTTCTTTCGGAAAATAACAGTTGCCCATGATGATTAGGTTTTCAGATGAATGACTGTAATACATGTATTATGGCAATCCAATAATGGTGTGATGCTATTAAAAGGGTGAACGTATATATCTAAATTGAGGAACATTTATAAGGAGTACACGCGTGTAAAGATAAATTTGGGTTTGAAGTTTTTGAAGAATTAGAGAAGAGTACTGATTACTTCTGATAGAAGAGTGGACAGACGATACTCTGTAAATCGTCAGTGGAATGTCGAAACAGCTATACTGTAGAGCAGCGTTTCACAACCTTTTTTGGCCAAGGCACACTTGTCGCGGGGAAAAAATCACGAGGCACACCACCATTAGAAAATGTTAAAAAATTAACTCTGTGCCTATATTGACTATAATAAAGTAATTCTCTTGAATAGGAATCAAATAAGCACAAAGAAAGTATTTTATAATTACTTATTATGAAATATTAAGTAAACAGAATAGTGAAAAATTATAAATACTTTAGTGCGAAACCTGCGGCCTGTTTGGCTGAACACAAAGCTGATTCTGGCTGGAATCGAAGAAAGACACACACGTAGCTCTTCGTCAACAGTTCTCAGTCTCTCTCTGTATTTGGTTTTCATAGCAATCATGCTTGAAAAGCTAATCTCACACAGATATGTAGTGGAAAAAGGGAGCAATGTCAAAATAGCTTTGTTTGCCAGAAGGGGGAACTCCTTGGCAGTATCCAACCAAAAACTGTCCAAAGGTAGATCAGCAAATCTTAGCTTGCAACCACGATTTTGTCTCAGTTCAATTAGTTCCTCCTGCTCCTGTAAAGTCATTTCCTTTCCAACAACTGATGCTGAGCTATAAGGGTCCCTAACCCAGTCCAAGGCATTCAGTGGAGACTGAAGAGAATAAATGACAACTTCTCCTCAAGAGTTTTTAAATGCTTAACTATTATCTCACACAGTGCAGCAGGTGAACACCTTGCCATTGCATGGTGAGTGTGAACATTTCAAGATTGCCACTTTCACGTGTTGATGCCAGAGTTTGCACCTTTGAACGGAATCCATTTATTTATCTGTACTTGTAAGCAGGTTTTCATTTCGGCCTTGCATTCGGGTGTTCAATTCATTCAGATGATGAAATATATCTGCCAGGTATGCCAGCCTTGCACACCACTCATCACTTGCAAGCTGCTTTGCGTAATCTGACCCCTCATTGTCAGAAACACTTTAAGTTCCTCCCGCAGCTCATACACACGAACCAAGACCTTGCCACGCGACAACCACCGGACCTCCGTATGAAACAGCAAGGTTTTATGCTTTGCTCCCATCTCCTCACACAAAGCTGCAAATATGCGACTTTTCATGGGTCGTGACTTTACAATGTTTACCATGCGCACAACATCATCCAACACATGAACTAAGGCTGATGGTAAAGTCTTGGCTACGAGGGCCTCGCGGTGTAAAAAACAATGCGTAATAATCACATCTGGATTTCTTTCCTTCACTCTGCTTACAAAGCCTTTGGTGCGCCCGACCATGGCTGCAGCTCCATCGGTGCAGACACTTGTGCAGTTTTCCCACTTAAGTCCTCCTGTTCAAGGTATTCTGATGTGACCCGAAAAATTCTTCTCCTTGTGTTTTTTCTGGCAATACCTTGCAAAAAAAGAAGTTTTCTCTAATTGCATCACCATCAACAAAACGCACATTAGCTAAGAGTTGAGCATGTCCACTGATATCAGTAGACTCGTCAAGTTGCAATGCAAATTTCTCACTGATACGGATCTTTTCCAAAACCACACTTTCGATGTCTGCAGACATGTCATTAATACGTCTGGAAATTGTGTTGTTTGAGAGAGGGACTTTGGCTATTTCCTTTGCTGCTTCAGGTCCGAGCATCTCCTCTACAATAGCTTTGCAGGCAGGAAGTATTAATGTCTCTGCCACAGTGTGCGACTTTTTTGTCTTGGCTATAAGTTCAGCAACTTGATAGCTAGCTTTAAGAGCTCTTTCATTTACCTTTGTTGTTTTTCTCATAAAAGTTGCCTGTTTCTCCATGTTGTCACGCAGGCGAACAAAATAGTCCACATTCTTGTTTTGAAGCAAAGGGTGTTTCGTTTGGAGATGGCGTTTAAGTTTGCTTGGGACCATAGCACTGTTAGCTAGCTTTTCACCACACACCACGCACAGTGGAGTTGGTTTGTGTTCATCTCCAGTGAAAGTAAATCCAACTGAAATATAGCTTTCGCTATATTTGCCTTGCGCCGAGAATTTAACCATCTTTGCTTTCTTTTGACCCCCACTCATACTCGGGCTCTCATCTGGCTCCAGATTTTGTTCAGAGTCCAGTTCTTTCCTTTTCACAAAAACTTGTCCATCACACTGCAGTATCAGTGCTCTCTCCTCACAGCAGCCGTTGTCTCTCTGACACTGTGTGAGGCGTCTGCCTGCGTCTCATGGGGGCGGGGACACGGCGGACACTTGTCAAGATTGGCAGGGGGAGGGGTTATAGCACTGCACAGCGCCGTGACCACCTATGACACTGGCGGGGGGAGTGACGGGAGGAGTTATAGCGGGCGAACAGCACTGTGACACCCAGACCCGGCGGCACACCACGGTGCTTCAGACGGCACACTGGAACAGCGGTTGGGAACCGTTGCTGTAGAGGTACGAATTTCGATTCAAAACAAACTCAATTTTATAACGAAAGTAAAGAAACATGTACCTTTCAGAAGAATGTGCAGCTAGGCTGGATAGTTATTATAATACACAAATAGGGAAAGCGTGTACAAAAACTTCATCATAGAATTTCAAATATAAATTTTAAACATGATGTTGCCACGTTAATTAAAAATTCTAATGCGGACACCACATAACTTCTTTGTACGGCTTATTAAATTGTACGCATTTTTCGCTGTATTTCATTTAAATTTATTTCATGAAATTTAATTAGTCATATATTTCTCATTCAATGAATTCAGTTCTCACTTCCCAGCAAGGCAAAGATACATAAATACTCAATCTACTATCACTAAAACTTGAAAATTGTGGGAAAATATAAAACACAAAAATGCAGTTAAAACAATTTCAGTAATGATTTTTACAATTAAAATTACAGTTTCTACGTAAAAACAAAGAATTCGACTAGCGGGTAAGAAGGCAGATTTTTCGCTGCACAAAACTGAAGGTTCACTTTTGGTCCTCTCAGCAAAAAGGCACTGAAGAAACTGAATTCACTATTCTACTAAGTTTCAAATGTAAACAAATATGGTTTCTCCGTTAGGTTTAGCCACACTTAAACTTTTAAATTGTTAATAATTCTACAACTATAGCATGCAGATTAACAAAAAACTAGAACATAAGAACAACATTATTCGACCATATTTTAGCAAAAAAGTCACAGTTTACCAAAATATAAGAATAAAAAACTGAGCTCACGAAGCCGAGAAAGAGAGTGGTATATATATATACCCTGTCTCTTAGCAAAAATGTATATGCATATATATATATATATGTATATACATATATATATATATATATATAAACTTTTGGTACGTTAGATTTCAATCAAAAAGGGAGCACAATTACATGTTATAGCAGTCCTATATACAAAATATAAACGTTCTGAGGCTACTTCTTTTTGAGTTATGCGAGATACATACATACGTACGTACGTATGTACGTACAGACGTCATGGAGCAATCTTTCCTGAATCCATTTTAAATCCATTTCACAATCCGTTTTGGAAAAAAGAGTGCTTTATTCTATTCTTACCTGAATATTATTCCTGAATTATTACGTATAGATGTCACTCAAAAAAACCTTAAATTGCATTTAATAAGCGGTCAAAATGGGTATTTTCGCTGAAATATGATACTCGGAATATTTCGCGATTACCATAGTACTTTATTTCGTACAAGGAAGTAAAAACATAAAAAACTCTTCAGAGAAACAAGATGTCCTACCTGACGATCCAGTAATAAGATAACTTTATTATTATAGCTTCTTATTTTTGTCCAATATCATTTTAAACAGAAAACAGATATTTTTCTTTTAAAATTGGTTACTATAATCACCTTTTGTAATGCGACATAATTCTAGTCTACCAGTTCATCATTTACTCATGTGTGTACGAATGCATTTTCCCCTTAGAATTATAATATACCTGCAGAAATATTATAATGTATTTCTCCTGCCTTCTTAGCATGCCTTCGTAGTATAGTGGTCTGCACGCTAGGCGCGTATTCCATAGGTCCGTGGTTGGATTCCCGCGAGGGCGTTGCTCATTTTTCATCACTCCTGCTTCCAAAAATATACCTAATAGCTCTACAATATGATTTCACAAATATAGGTAAAGGTTATCAAACAATAACTAGAATGACAACTCTGCAAATGAACATTTCCTTGTTATGGTCTGTTTCTTTAGACCGAATTTTTCGTGTCTATTTTGAAAGTGACACCAATCTTAGTACAGCAGTTAAATATTTGAGCTAGCGATTTCCTGCTTGCAGCGTCGTACAGTGTGTCGATTCGCACCTACCCCCCCTTCCCCAAAAAATAAAAATAAAAAAATAAGTGATTATTATAGGAGGGTTAAGGAAAAACTGCAGCCAAGATCGTTGCTATACTTCACTAAAAAGTTCAAGAGCTTTCAGTAAATCACCGTTGTTGCGTTGTGTTTTCCAGATATCCAAAATAACGAAAAATAGAACAAAGACTAGTCTGGCTTGGATAGCCATCCGCTGATGTGATAAGGAAAATATTGGGAAAATACTACAAACTTCTAATAAAGATCAGTAAAAAAAAAAAAAAAAACATTCACCATATTTCTAAAGAAACTTTCTGAGAATTCTTGCGGGAGAATATTCACAGTATTTATGTCTCACTCATGCTACTTGCCATATCTTCTTACTCACTGTGACGTTTCTGTTTCCAAGACAAAGACATGAGGTAAAGGATAAAGACAGATCTCAAAAGCAATTCAGTGGATACAAAAACAAAAATCACGGATGTGAATGAGGTGCAAGGAAAGAAAGCATCGTACCTTCACTAATATTCCATATCAAAAGTTCCATATCTATTTTCTTATTTACAGCAATAGACAGACGATTACAAAAAAGTGTATCGATACTTGTGGAAAAGTGATAAAACTACGTGAGTGTAAAACTAGATATATTTACTTTGATATAATTCTGATTACTTTTAAATTTCCTGATAGGAATTCAATGAACGTGAATGTTTTTCAATATTCTAAAGGCTTGTAGATGCTAAGAATAGTGAAATCTTTCGCATCCCGTGTTGAGTATACTGAATTAAGCCCAAGGACTTCGGTAATAAAAATGTCATTCTTAAAACCTGACAACCTGGAGGTACTAAATGGTGATAATTCAACATTTCTTCTATAATGAAAAACTCTTTTTATTTTTGCTTCATATTTACACAAGGCTTACTTCTACGTCCTTATAGAGAACCATTAAATTTTTCAAAACTGGAAAAAGGGATAAATTGATTGTCCTCTCGCCAGGACTTGAGCCGTAAACCTTCCATTTGCTAGATGGACCAGCAAATAGAAGGTCTTAAAACCCCACAGCCTGAGCAGGAAATACGATATTTCCTTTCATTCTCCCTCAATGGGATACCGACTAGGAGTATCCACATCACCAAATTCAACGAATTAGCGTTCACTACGTCTTTAATCCATGGCCAGCTGTAGATCTGAAAACCACGAATCTTCCAGTTTGATAGCTAAATGAGCTAATTAACGATTTGCAATAACACACATAAGGGAATGATATAATTACTTACACAGCTGTTTTTAATTTAAATACTCGAATAATTTTTCCTTTCTACATCATCACAAAAAACCAATAACTCTACAAATCTAGCAAATTGATTTATTGATTCCAAATGTGAATTAAAAAGGAAAGGTATATTTATTTACCTAATGGAGTAAAAGCGTGGAATGTTTTCTCATACGACATGAAAAGAGTTTTTGAGATACATTCTAACGTTAATAGTAAACAAGTAAAAATACTGCATAATAATCTCTTAATACCAGTCGCTTGTTTACGGAGATATTAAGAACCTAATTCAGAAGTCAAACAACAAAAATCAGCGTTTATATTTTCAAAATTTTCACAGGACTAGTTTCGATGGTTTTATCGAACCACCATCCTCAGCTGCAAAACCGCAAATAAACAAGATAGGAAATAACGATTAAATAAGATAAGAAAGCCTGGACAAGAATAAGCAAGTGGCGCCATCTGTTGATGAAACCAGAACTAAAACATAATTTCTTTAAAGGCCGAAGGCAAAGATGGATATTTTTGTTGCTTGACTTCTGAATTAGCATTTGTTTGGCGTGTTATTGTGTCTTAATATTAAGAACCTGTCTTGATTTTTCATTAGTCTAACAGCAGCTGAATAGTAAAGTCTCTGAACCCTGGTGGTTCGGTTCGGGGTTCGAATCCCGGTGAATGGGCAAGCCGCTTGGGCGATTTCTTCGTTTATCCCATGTGTAAAGTCTTTGAGTCAGCTTCTC